TCCCGTTTGATCTGAAGCTACATGAGAGCTTCGAGCCCTTTGCGCCCGAAGCTCGTCCAGGCGACCGGTTACTGGACCGCTATGCGGACCGTCTCCATTTTGACGAGCGTGATCCTGGCCAGGATAGGCGCCCATATCTAGACGAGCTCATTGCGAAAGCAAGGGCCGACCCACTAACAGTACTGGCTGCAACTGATGGCTCTGTCCCTCAGTCCAACCAGTATCAGGCGGCTTCGGCTGCTATAATCTACAAGGGACATCGCGAGCTCGAAAGGACCCGCTATGTCTCTGGCAGAGTTACCGCCCCAGATGCGGAACTCAATGCCATCTCGTGCGCAGTGCGCCTTGCTGTCAAGCAGGCAAACTGCCAACATATTATGGTCTTCACTGACTCTATGGGCCGAGCGGTTGACCCCGGCGTGCATTCTGGTCAGGCTTTTAGTCTGTCAGTATGTCGCGCTCTTCAAGAGTGGTTTGAGGCAGATGATCTCCGTCGCATTACCTTCGTCTACGTCCCTTCTGCTATGCGGTGGGATATCCATGGTGAAGCACACAAGTACGTCACCGAACTCAAAGTCAGGGTTGGGCGTTGCAAGACGGACAACTCCATAGACGCGCTACGCTCTCGAGCTGCGCACTCAGTCCTGGATTCGTGGAACTCCACTTTCCAGGATCCAACTTACCGAGGCTCTGAATTCTTAGAGCTTCAACAGCCTGACGGGCGGCCGCTGCAGCCATCGTACCTCAACGGGGGACCTTGGCTTTCAACATTCGGACACAGTATTACTGAGTTCACCCGCGTTCGCTGGTGTATAACTGGCCATGCGCCCATTGGAGCGTATTACCGTCGCTTCAAGATCAATGAGCCTCATGGCTGCACTTGCGGGGCTGCTTTGCAGTCCCGTCAGCATATCCTCTTTCGCTGTCGCGATCGCTACTCAGTGCACTACCCCCGTTTTCTTGGGGATATTGCATCTTTTATGAAGTACAACCCTACGGCGTTTGGCTTCAACCGGGACCCGTCGGGTGTCGGATAATCGTTGCAGGCGGGGTTATTCCTCCTTTCGGGGGATTTATGGTGAATTGACACCCTCGGACCTTAGGGGCCGGAGACCTGTGCCTACCGCTATTTCTTTGCGCTTGTGGCCGCTATTGTAGCAGGTTGTGGCGCCGCTAATTCTCTGCGTCTGGTTTCGGGCAGGCGCTTCTCTGGCTTGTTGGCCTTAAGACACCCTGCCACCTCCCGGGTGGTGCTGTTCATATCTCATTTGCGCTGCGTGGCCCCCGAACAGCGTCCGACGACTTTGGGGTTTAGCGGGGCCTCGATGGTCTCTTCCCCTTATCCCGCGTCACCGTTTTCGCGAGGTGGGTCTGGCTTTATGGGAGCTTTGGCGTTTGAGCCATAAGGCTCGTGGTTGGGGGGGCGGACGTCTTTTAGTAGTTCACTTAGTACCCAGGCCGCATAGCGTACGTGTTTGTAGATAGCGAGCGGGCTGCCATCGAGCACCGCTATATAAATTGTTGATAAAAAAAAAAAAAAAAAATCACATTATTTATCATCAAGTTGTTTGGATTGGGCCAGAATGGTCCCATCATCCACAAAGGAGAGCAACGTTGTATTGAGCAGTGCCGCCTTGATGTAGAAGAGCTTCATTACCGGAGCAATGAACAGCCCAGAAATAACAGGCGAGAGAGCTGAGCCCTGCCCGACACCCACGTCCGCAGATCGCGAGTCGGATTGGAAGGTGTTCCAGCAGTAAACTGTGGAACTACCAACAAGATAGGAGGCAAAGAACTCCACCAGAACCAGCGAGAACCCTTGCTTGCAAAGTACAGCCATGAACACGTCCTTGCACTCTTCATCGTGCTGGCCAATGCCTGCCTTCGGGTGAGTCATTGGCCGCGTATATTCAAGGAGTCGCTATCGGTTATCATCCCAAAACCGAATAAGCCCTCCTATGCCGTACCGAAGGCTTTCAGGCCGATCGTACTCCTCATCACTTTTGGTAAACTTATCAAAAAGATGATTGCCAACAGGATACAGTTTGACGCTGTCAAGCATGATATCTTCCATCCCAACCAACTTGGCAGCATCTGCCAGAGGTCAACTGAGGATGCTGGATTGATTCTGACTCATCTTGTGCGAGCGGGGTGGGTTAAGGGTCTCCAGACTAGCGCGCTGGCTTTTGACATCACGCAGTTCTTCCCTTCTATCAACCATGAGATGTTCATGGCTGTTCTTCGCAAGCAAGGGTTCTCGCCGGTTCTGGTGGAGTTCTTTGCCTCCTATCTTGTTGGTCGTTCCACAGTCTACTGCTGGAACACCTTCCAATCCGACTCGCGGTCTGCGGACGTGGGTGTCGGCAGGCTCAGCTCTCTTTTTTTTTTTTTTTTTTTTATCAACAATTTATATAGCGGTGCTCGATGGCAGCCCGCTCGCTATCTACAAACACGTACACTACACGGCCTGGGTACTAAGTGAACTACTAAAAGACGTCCGCCCCCCCAACCACGAGCCTTATGGCTCAAACGCCTAAACTCCCATAAAGCCAGACCCACCTTGCGAAAATGGTGATCGGGATAAGGGCAGGAGACCATCGAGGCCCCGCTAAACCCCAGAGCTGTCAGACGCTGTTCGGAGGCCACGCAGCGCAAATGAAATGAGAGAGCACCACCCGGGAGGTGGCAGGGTGTCTTAAGGCTGACAAGCCAGAGAAGCGCCTGCCCGAAACCAGACGCAGAGGGTTAGCGGCGCCGCAGCCCACTATGATAGCGGTTGCAAGCACGAAAGAGTGAAACGGGCGCAGGTCTCCGGACCCTAAGGTCCGAGGGTGTCAATTCACCGATAAATCCCCCAAAAGGAGGAATAACCCCGCCCGCAACGATTACCTGACACCCGAGGGGTCCCGGTTGAAGCCAAACGCCTAGGGTCTTCATAAAAGGTGCAATATCCCCAAGAAAGCGGGGGTAATGCATGGAGTAGCAATCGCGACAGCGAAAGAGAATATGCTGGCAGGACTGCAAAGCAGCCCCGCAAGTGCAGCCATGAGGCTCATTGATCTTGAAGCGATGGTAATACGCTCCAATGGGCGCGTGGCCAGTTATACACTGGCAAACGCAGGCGAACTCAGTGATACTGTGTCCGAATGTTGAAAGCCAAGGTCCCCCATTGAGGTACGATGGCTGTAGCGGCCGCCCGTCTGGCTGTTGAAGCTCTAGAAATTCAGAGCCTCGGTAGGTTGGATCCTGGAAAGTGGAGCTCCACGAATCCAGGACTGAGTGCGTGGCTCAGGAGCGCAGCGCGTCTATAGAGTTGTCCGTCCTGCGACGTCCAACCCTGACTTTGAGTTCGGTGACGTACTTGTGTGCCTCACCATAGATATCCCACCGCAGAGCAGATGGGACGTAGACAAAGGTGATGCGGCGGAGGTCATCCGCTTTGAACCACTCTTGGAGAATGCGACAACCTGACAGGCTAAAAGTCTGACCAGAGTGCACGGAAGGGTCGACCGCTCTATGGGCCGAGCCCATAGAGTCAGTAAAGACCATAATATGTTGGCAGTTTGCCTGCTTAACAGCAAGGCGCACTGCACACGAGATGGCATTGAGTTCCGCATCAGGGGCAGTAACTCTGCCAGAGACATAGCGAGTCCTTTCAAGCTCACGGTGTCCCTTGTATATGATGGCAGCCAAAGCCGCCTGATACTGGTTGGACTGAGGGACAGAGCCATCAGTTGCAGCCAGTACTGTTAGTGGGTCAGCCCTCGCTTTCGCGATGAGCTCGTCAAGGTATGGGCGCCTATCCTGAGTGGGATCACGCTCGTCAAAGTGGAGACAGTCCGCATAGCGGTCCAGGGCTCAGCTCTCTCACCTGTTATTTCTGGGCTGTTCATTGCTCCGGTAATGAAGCTCTTCTACATCAAAGCAGCGCCGCTCAACACGACGCTGCTTTCCTTTGTGGATGACGGGACCATTCTGGCCCAATCCAAACAGCTTGATGATAATAATGTGGGTCTGCATAAGGCTTACAAGATTATCTACCTTCTCTTTGTTGCTTTCACACTCGTTCTTGAACACGACAAGACCGAGTTGTTTCACTTTTCACGTCGACAAGACGCCTACAATCCCTTGCTGGATTTGGGGTATGCCCTGCATACCGGCGCCACTCCTTTGAAGCCCAAGACCTATTGGAGGTACTTGGGCTTCTACTTTGACCGCGGGCTTACGTTTCATGAACACGTCCGCTACTATGCCACCAAGGCGTTCACCACCATGCAGGCCATGCGCATGCTCGGCAACTCCACCAGAGGTCTCTCGCCTAAACAGCGCCACCTCTTATATCGGTTGTGTGTGGTTCCCATTGCCACGTACGGTTATCGTCTCTGGTATTTCGACGGCGCCCATAATAAGGGCACGATGACCCAGCTAAAACGGATGCAGCGAAAAGCTGCTCTATGGATTACTGGTGCCTTCCGCACCTCACCCACAGGCGGTCTTGAGGCCCTCACTGGCCTCATCCCCGTTCATCTCATGCTGAAGAAGCTGGCGACGCGCGCAGTGTATCGCGTCGCTACCCTCTCAGACACCCACCCTCTCCGCTCCATGATGGGCGAGGGACTCCTTAAGCGAGCTGCACTACATGCCCGCTCATCCGCCTTGATGACCCCAGCTATGCGAGGGAAAGTCAAGAGCACCGTTATGGAGGTGGACGAGCGTGTCCACACCTTAACTGAGAGCTTTGAGCCCTTTGCGCCTGAAGCTCGCCCAGGCGATCGGTTACTGGACCGCTATGCAGACCGTCTCCACTTTGACGAGCGCAATCCCACTCAGGATTTTTTTTTTTTTTTTTTGATCAACAATTTATATAGCGGTGCTCGATGGCAGCCCGCTCACTATCTACAAACACGTACGCTACGCAACCTGGTTACTAAGTTAACCACTAAAGGACGACCGCCCCCCCAACCACGAGCCTTATGGCTCAAACGCCGAAGCTCCCATAAAGCCAGACCCACCTCGCGAAAACGGTGCATCGGGATAAGGGGAGGAAACCATCGAGGTTCCACTACGCCCCAAAGTCGTTGATCGCTGTTCGGAGGCGACGCAGTGCAAATGAGATAAGAAGAGCACCACCCGGGAGGTGGCAGAGTGTCTTAAGGCCGACCAGCCAGAGAAGCGCCTACCTGAAACCAGACGCAGAGAATTAGTAGCGCTGCAACACGCTATAAAAGCGGTCGCAAGCGCAAAGGAATGAAATGGGCGCAGGTCTCCAAACCCTAAGGTCCGAGGGTGTTAATTCACCATAAATCCTCTGAAAGGAGGAATAACCCCACCTGCAACGATTATCGACACCCGAAGGGTCCCGGTTAAGGCCAAACGCCGTGGGGTTGTACTTCATAAAAGATGCAATATCCCAAGAAAGCGGGGGTAGTGCACGGAGTAACGATCGCGACAGCGAAAGAGGACATGCTGGCGGGACTGCAAGCAGCCCCGCAACTCATGCACCCTCTCTCTCTCGAACGCCCACTTGTCAACAAGCGCAAACAACCAGCTCACCGTCTCGCACATCGTCTAGCGCTTTATTGACAAGCCAGAAGATATCTCCTGATCGTTTGTACTGCACCAGCAACACATGTCCGACCTCCCACCGAGAGGTCAGGCTCCGCCCCACCAGCAATACCACCATCGGTTGCTGGCTCATCGTCGATTGGCGGTGATGCCTTGCCAATCTCGCCGGACCCTACCTTGACTAGGGCCACATACTCGACGGTCGTGCCAGCTCGATCTCGCCACATGTCACCCCGCCGCAGGTCCCGTTCCACCACAGGGTCCGCCCATTCGTCCGCAGATGAGTCTGACTCAGGGGCGGCCCACCCCCAGGAGATGGAGGTTGAGGGCACACAGGGAGGGGAGGAGGTCTTGAGGGACCCCTCCGTCGACCTTCTTCTAGGTCAATACACCTTGAAGTTCCGAGACACAGTCGAGGATCTTCCTGGCGATCTTGAGGTATTGACCACCTCCATTGCGAAGGCCACAGACTGGGTTCTGCGGGCCACGCACCACAATCCGCTCACCATCGATGGGGGCGATGCCTTCGTGGCCCAGATGACATCCTTCGTGAACGCCGTCATGGCCACCAATTTTAGTCGTATTCGCAGACCAGGCGAACTCGACAACTTCTCGCTCGCCTCTCTTCTCGAGGCTGAGACGTCTTCCAAGGATGAGCCGACCATCCACCCGGCTCCCGTATTCAGGCCTCCTCCTCCTGCTGCCCGTGGGCCACTCGATGAGGGTGTCGCTGGCGTAGGGGCTCCTCCCGATGTCCTCATGCAGGCACTGGATGACCTCAGTCGCCTGGCCTCCCCGTCTCGCATCCCCGCTTCTAAGAAGTGTAAGGGTGTCGATCGTCCGGTTCCACCTCCCCCTCAGAAGAAGAGCAAGGTGGCCTACTAACGCCCTGGTCCGCCTCCGCCGATCAATCGTGCTACCAAGCCCAAGCCCCGTCCAATGACGTGGGCAGGGATCACACGACAGGCCGCTCCGATGCCTCCCCTGCCTCCTGGCTTGGGACCGCAGCGTTGCGGGCCTTCTCCTCTGCCCCCCACATTCCCAACGGGCCGGATGAAGACTTCACCTCATCGGTCCGTTCCCTCTTTTACTTCCGAGGGCCCCACCCGGAAGCAGGTTCTCGTGTCGTTCGGGGGTACCCCTCCCGACCTCACGAAATTCTTCACCGAGTCGGCTGTTCGTGCAGCCAACGGATACCTAAGGGATGGTCGATCTACGACGGTTTGTCGTTGGTCACCCCCGCTGTTGCCAGCCCGTCCGATCTGGACATCCTGCGCAACTTCATCCATGAAAGCCTCCCAACGGGTACTCCGTTCGAGGTTGCGCTCCCGTTGTCGACATCTTTTATAAAGATACTCGATGTTCCTTACTTCGATCCGAAAGGGTTGAAGATCACCCAGGAGGCGCTTGAAAAGGCCCTCCATACCTCGGTTCACGCTGAGGTTTTTGCATATCTGAGCACCAAGCCTCGGATAGATCGCAACTCCGCACACTCGACATTGTGCATGGTCTACTGCAACATTTGGGACTCCCAGCAGGGAACCCACGCCAAGAAGGCCTTAGGCCAACTGATCTTCCTCGCTGGACGGTCCTGTGCAATCAGGCCTGCCGTGCGACACACCGGGGTCCTGCTCTGCCAGCGCTGCTGGACAACTTAGCATGCGAGATGTTGCAAGGGCAACGCGAAAGCAAAACCCCCTGTGCCGCCCACCCCTCACGACCAGCCCTGCCCCCATAACGGCCGCTGTGTCAATTGCCACAAGGACCATGCCGCCAATTCAGCGTCATGCAAGTACTGGGCCCACCGCTACGATCGTGAATGGATCATGAACAAGTATCGTCAGGTACATGAGCATGCCGCTCGCCGCCAATTTACTAACCCCCGAACCTAGACTAATGTTGGGAAACCTACAGGATCTAAGTAGCGGGTTACGCATTTATAGTCAGAACGTTCGCCATACCTATGCCCACGTCGATACGCTCCTCGAAATTTGTAAAACCAAATTTGATATTTTATTTTTCCAAGAAACCCCTTGGAATTTCATAAGGCACGCACCGTCCACCACCAGTATGGAGGGCGATGAGGTTATCGGTGCACCAAAGCACCCAGATTGGTTGCAAATGGTGCGCATTAAGGAAGGGGAAGTTCCCCACGCGATCGCCTATGTTTCGACTAGGCTATCCCGCTATCGTCCCGCTATGCACCGCGACATCGTCGACCATTGCGACATCCTCGTCCTCTCCCTCTTTAGTGGGGGCAAGGTTCTTAACTTAATGAATGTCTACCCTGACGATCAACACACAGCCATTGAGCACCTCGCTGCTCATGTGCATTCTCTACCACCTTTCATCTATATGGCTGGTGACTTCAACTGCGTGTTGATGACTTGGGATGACTATGAGCATGGCGAGTCATCAACAGCAATATCCTTGCGGGATACCGCATCTCAGATCGGCCTCGAGTGGGCACGACCTTCTAACCATGGACCGACGAGAATCAGTCCTAATCCAAACCAGAGATCCAATGTGTTGGATCTTGTATTCTTAGCTCCATCTGAGATCTTAATCTCAATGCCCAGATTGGAGCACGATCTCCAGGGTCCGTCAGATCATGTCCCGATCTGCACAGATCTTGATATCGGTCCCGAACCGCCCGGATCTGGGTGAAGGACAATTAAACCCGGAAGCGAGGCTGAAAAGTCTTTCATTTTGGATATTCTCCGGGATCTTGCGGCTATTCCTGTCGCAGCCCTGGCAACCAAGGAAGGCCTTGAAGCTTTAGCTGATGCTATCGCGACAGCATTCTCGGACGCATGGCTTGCCCATTCAACCGAGTCCAAACCTACCAAGTGCTCCAAGTCCTGGTGGACGGACAAGTGCTCAGAGACATTCGGGGTATATCTGTTGAGCCGATCGCTCGCTGATTATAACAAGTTTAAGAAGGCGTGTAAGGACGCCAAATGTAATTTCTTCGATGAACGTATCGCAGAAATCGCTACTTCTCGCAAGCGCCCGTGGGACCTAATGGAATGGGTCAAACAGCGCAAGCTACTACCCTGTGAGGCTATTCACAATGGCGACCAGCCTTGCCACGATATGGACGACCTCTGGGACGCCCTTCATGGCATGTACAATTCGGCCTCTGGTCGCGAGTACGACACTTCAGTCTTGGATGAGCTTCCCGATGAGCCAGTTCGCGAGTGGGCTGACTTCTCGGAGCATGAGTTGTTGAGTGCCCTTAAGGGGTGCTCCAACTCCTCTGCACCAGGACCGGACCATGTTACGTGGGTCCACCTAAAGGAGTTGCTTAAGGATAAACACGTCCTTGCGCTCTTCATTGTGCTGGCTAACGCTTGCCTTCGGGTGGGTCATTGGCCGCGTATATTCAAGGAGTCGCTATCGGTTATCGTCCCGAAACTGAATAAGCCCTCCTATGCCGTACCGAAGGCCTTCAGGCCGATCGTACTCCTCATCACTTTCGGTAAACTTATCGAAAAGATGATTGCTAATAGGATACAGTTTGACGCTGCGAGCATGATATCTTCAACCCTA